AACTAACACTCCATATCTTATAACCAGGACCACTTTATCTCATAAGTGAATGTGTGATACATTTGAATGTACCATAGCAAGACTCTGATTTAGTTGTTGAGCGGTTGATGGTGTGTTTGTTGTTGTAAGTTTGTAGAGTTCAAACCTTCAACTCTATTATGGATTTGTTAATTTTTGGCTATCACGCAATAAGAACTTACCAATAATCCGCTTTAACCTGTTTAATTAAATGGGTTCAATATTATTATTCAATTATGATCCGTTTGATAAATTGCGGGCAGATATGGATAGGTTGACGGGTTTAGATTAACATTACCACCTCTAAGGCCTCGTTTGGCAAGATGTTATTTTAGTCAATTAGTAAAAAAGTTACTAAATTAGTCAAAAAGCCAACAACCCATATCAAAAAGTCAAAGATTCTCTTTTCTCTCTACTTTTTGCATATCTTTTCGTAATTAACCAAAAAGTCATCCCAAACATACAAGTATTTTTTACTTTCCTTTTTAGCCAAATAGCAAAAAAGTTACTAAATTAGCCTGTTCCCAAACGAAGCCTAAGTTTCCAAATGTTTAGGATTACAATTTCCCATATGGATTTGGATTTTTGTGAGAATCTGGTTGTTTTTTAGGGGCGGTTCTCAAATTAAGTCAAATTAGCAACTTAATTTTCAAATTAGACCTAATTTGAACGAAATTTTCAAACTAGGCTAAAGCGCTATTATAAACCACGTTTTTAAAGAAATTTTTTTTTTCTCCATAAAACGTGGTTCCAAACCACGCTTTATAAATTTTTTTGAAAAAACGTGATTTCGAATCACGCTTTTAATACCAACCAAGGAAACACGCTTTTAAAATATATTAAAATGTGAGCAAAATAAAAGTTAAGTGGGATGTAGCCCAAATGGCAGTGCACTTGTTTAACTTGGGAGGGGTGCGTGTTCAACACCCCACATCTCCAAACTGTTGCTATTTTTCACATTAAATTCTAACTCTTTTTTTTTTCCCCTTGACTTACTCTATACTTTATATATTTATTATGTAATTTTTTTATCAAAAAAAGGTAAAACGTTTGTTTGGTTAACTAAAAAAATTCTCTATAAAATATAATTTTTTTTCAAAATGTCAGCATAATTGTTTAAAAAGTATTTAGTGTCTTTAGTTTGAGTTTTTTGGATTTAGTTATTTGAAAACTGAGTTTTTTGATTTTCGTATTTTTTTGTTTTTAGTGAATATTTTTAAAATTTTAAACATTTTTTTTTACTTTTTTAGATGCACACCTTAGTTAGATGTATTTAAAAAGTAAAATATTTGTGAAAAAATATTTTTAAAAATTAATAAATACATAAAAATATAAAAAATGTACTGAAAA